ATTCTGGTAATGGTCTCCTGTGCTAATGCATTCAAGACTATTCTCCAATTTCTCTTCTATCAGATTCAGTGTCACTTGATTTATGTTGAGGTCTTTGATCAACTTGGACTTGTTTTGTGCAGGGGGATAGGTATGAATCTATTTACAGTCTTCTATATGCTGATATCCAGTTAGACAAGCACCATTTGTTGAAGATGCTTTCTTTTTCCATTGTATAGTTTTTTCTCAAAAATCAAGTGTTCATGGGCATGTGGATTTATGTCAGGGTCTTCAATTCAGTCCCATTGATCCACCAAGCTCAGGGAATCATGTTGAAGAGATGGAGGAAGGATTATACAAACCAGGAGGGTCAAGGTCATCACTAGGGAACCCACAGAAACAACTAACCTGGTGTCATAGGAGCTCACAGACTCTGGATTGACAGATAGGGAGCTTGCAAGGGACCAACCTAGGTCCTCTACATATGTGTGACAGTTGTATAGCTTATTCTTGGTCTACTTGTGGGACTCCTAGCAGTGCAAGCAGGTCCTGTGCCTAACACTTTGTCTGGTTTTTGGAAACCTATTCCTCATACTTGGTTACCTTGTCCAGTCTTAATACAAGGGAAAGAGCTTAGTCCTATCTTAACTTGATATGACATGTTTTGTTGACACCCTTTGGAGGCCTATCCCTTTCTGAACAGAAATAGAGGAGGATTGCATAGGGTGGGGGTAGATAAGAGAGGCAATGGGAGGAGAAGAGGGAGGGGAAACTGTGGTCAGGATGTAAAGTAAATGAATAAACTTTGAAAGAAATGTTAGTTTTCTTCTAAGAGACTTAGCATCGAAAGTAGATGTACAAATTCAGGATGTTTTCTGTGTTGCTTATGAAGATGTTAGCACCATCAGTTGTTGAATATAAGCTCTAAAGCTCTGATATTCAGCATTGGTCCTATTCCTCATTTCCCCATGTCTGTCACAGCCACCCTAGTTATGTCAGCATATTAAGTTTGGGAGTAGATTGGATTTGCTCCAGAATTGTTTACTTTGTCACTTGCAACGTAAGGAAGCCAAACATTGACTGTGGGTTTTAGACATTTTGTAAGCCTGAATTAGGATGTATTTTCATTTTAAGTATGAGGAATATGTGTAAGCAGGCTGTCGAATAAAGTAGAGTAGTGTACTGGGCAGAGTCTCTTATATTATACATATCTAAATTCTGCTCAGTGAGGAAGACAAACATAATTTGAACAGTACCCATTTAGCTTCTCCATGGTGAGAAATATCATCAGAATCGAAATCCTCCAACTACTGGATCAAATGAATCTGGTCCAGTGTTTGGAGCTTTTGTGAGTCTTGCTATGTGTGTTATTGAGAACAAGTTGCTTTCTCTTATGAAGCTCTTATTTCCTTATTTCTGGCAAAGGAATGCTTATGTGTATGGGTGATTATTATAGATTTGCATATGATACCAGGTATGAAAATCTCACAAAATCCTTAAAATAATTCATTGACCTAAATAGTAGTTATGGTAGAATTGGTGACAATTGGTATCTAGATGGAAGAAGAGAAAGATTAAAAGAAAAATGTCATTAAGAGCCTAGAGATAACCGGTTATCACCAGAAACAAAGAAAGGCCATAAAGATGCAAGGTACAGTCGCACTGTTTGAATGCCTTTAAATTTTCATGTGAGGTATCTGTTCTTTTTTTCTATAAAAAAGATTTATTTATAGTGAGAAAATGACTTATTTGACCTTCAGAAGCATGTTACAGGGCGCAGGATGCTTAGTATTGAAGATGTGATTGGTCGAGCCTAAGGTTCCCATTTTACCCACTCCGTGGAAGCTATAAATGCTCCACTTCAGCTGCTGTTGATATGCACTCCATCATGAGGAGTCCAGGGACATTTCTTCATCTGGACATCTTTCTGATACTGAGAGATCTGTGGTTTGTCCTTTTGAAGAAACCTGAGGCTCCTTATTGCTGCTATAAAAAGACAGACTGGGGACAGATTCAGAGGTGGGCATGGAAAAGCATCTTAGATGTGTGAACTCAGCTGAAGCCAATTTTACAGCTGTTGCTAATGACCATTACTGTGTTGTATGTGAATGCCATAATGTAGAGTCCCACATGTCTCATTCTGGGTGTAGCAGTGTTAAAATCCTCCTCCTGTGCTTAAACCTCTATAGTCTTTATAGTTAATGCCCTCAGCTTGTTTTCTGTTTTCTAAGAAAATAGCATCATTACTTTTCTTGTCTGCCAGACATTTCCAAAACTTCCTGACTCATTCTTGCCCACCCCTTCTTATCCTCACCACAATTCCCAGGTCTTCACAGCCAGGTCTTTTTAACTAGCTAACGAAATTGCAAATACACAGTAGACTTAGACTAATGTCTTGCCTAAAAGGAAGGGAAATGAAACTTAGGAAACCTTGCTTGATTTGTTCTCAGTGACTGCTTGACACACACTGCTCCTTACCCAGAGGAGCTCAGACCTGAACAAGGTGCTCAAATTTCAAAGCACCAAAAATAGGAGTACTGCATAATTACAGAAAATTAATTAATTTAGCCAACATAGATGGTATCATAATAAGAAACAAGGTCAATGAATGAATTCAGCCCTTCTTATGCTAAACATGTTCTGCATCCTGTAGCAATTACAGTATCTGGAAGCTTGTTACATTTGGACACTGTTAGAGTCGGAAGAAGTGTTGAATCATAGCACACATGCAGTATGATGCCCAAGTAGCACATGATCACATTAACCTATAAGGTTCACTGTGCTACAAACACCAGACACTCAAAGAAAGACAATTACAGAGTCACACAGTGCAGGAGTCCTCATTTGTTGCGAACTATCAAATGTGTTACTTAGGCTCACTGGGTTTACTGTTCTAGAAAGATAAGCCCTCATAGGGCATATCCCACTTCATAGGGTTGTTGTGAAGTACTGAAGTTAAGGAATCTTCAGTAGGCTTACATATGGAATGGTTATGTTAGCAAAATTATTTTCCTTGTAGAATGGACAATGACACTAATAGATTTTTATGCCAATGGGAGAGAGTTTGGGGAAGCCGGGATGGCCCTCTGAACTGTATTCCAGCAAAGTAGGCTTGAATTTTGTGTGACTGCATATTTTACAAATATATGTCCTAAGATATATATCACTTCACACCCACTCCTTTAAGTCCTCTGTCCTGACTTTATTGGGAAGCCCTTTGTGATCCCAGACAACTCTTGTCATCTCTACCATTTTTTTCTGTCCATCTGAAATAACATGTGTCATCGTACAGTGACATTTATCTTATGGCTATTTTCTTTGTTCTAACAGGATTATACTGTGTAGGAGTGCCTTGAATCCAGCAGTCACTCAGTAAATACTAACAAATAATACAATTAGACTAGGCTCTGTAGATAGAGGGAATTTAATCAAATTGATTAATATTCCCAGAAAAAGCAGAATAACATGACAGTAATTTCTTAAAATCAGTAAACATGTAAATTTATGCTGAGAATCAGATTCTGGAGGGCCCCTGGGGAAGCTGTAAAGTGCAGAGATAATAGATACCTACATTTGAGGATTATCATAAGCAAAAGTAGAAATACAGTATGAAGCTGGGGAGATATCTCAGTATTTAGAAACACTCTCAATGCAGTTCCAAAGTCTTGAGTTTAAATTTCAGAATCCATGTAGGAAGGTAAACACAGTAGCAGCAACACACATCTGTAATTCTAGAGTTTCTACAGCTAGAAGAAAGGAGGAAGGGGAGGCAGAGACAGGAGCATCAACTAAAATCTCACAGTCTGGCTATCTTAGGAGAAGCAGAAACATTAAGAAAGATCCTGTCTCAGAACAAATTAAAAGGTAAAGGTACCTGTGGGGGTACAACACACACACACACACACACACACATGCTCACAAAGATTAAAATAGAAATGTATTCTTAAATTGTTTGCCCTAACCAATGCAGACTTCACATACACAAGATCTTGTGTTCAGTGTTAGTACCACAGACAGACAGACAGACAGACAGACAGACACACACACACACACACACACACACACACACACACACACACAAAATATAATTTTAGTGGTTAGTTTTGTTAATAAATATAGTTAAATTAAAAGGCTACATCATTATTCATATTTAGTCATGTAACAAGTAGTAGATATCCTTATAACTTAAAATCTCTCCATTTCATAAGCAATGTAGAATATTCACTTATGAGAATGACCTATAGTGGTGATTGGAAAACAGAGAGTTTCTTAGGGGAGGGATATTATTTTATTTATCTTCAAATACATAAATACTGAGGACTGATAGATTTCATTTGGTAAGAGTAACTTGAGTAGGGAGCTGGAGAGATGGCTCAGAGGTTTAGAGGTTAAGAGCACTGGCTATTCTTCCAAAGGACCTGAGTTCAAGTCCAAGCAACCACATGGTGGTTCACAACCATCTGTAATGAAATCTGGCACCCTCTTCTGGCCTGTGGGCATAAGACAGATGCTGTATACATAATAAATAAATAAATCTGAATTTATAAAGTAACTTGATTAGGTGTTGAATTTTCTTTCTGGTGTCCACACCTTCCAAATAGTATATAAAACACATAGAAAATCACATTGCAGAAGTAATTAATGCTACATAATATGTTGCTTTTCAGTTCAGAATAAATGTGTGTCTATAGTTAAGAAATAAGTGGAGCTGGAGAGATGCTCTACAGCCAAGAGTTTATAACACTCTTGAAAAGACATGAGTCTGATCCCAGGTCCTTGGCTAGTTCACAACCACCTGTGACTCCAGGGACTACGATGCCCTCTTCTGGCCTCTGCCAATAACTTCACTCGTGTGTGTGTGTGTGTGTGTGTGTGTGTGTGTGTGTGTGTGTGTGTGTGTGCATACGCCCACACACAAACACATGGATACCTATTTTTTAAGGAAGCAAAGCAATGTGTAATGTTTAATAAGTGACCAAGACAAATCAATCTTTCTCATTTTTTTTCTTAATTGTGTACAGATTCTTCTAAAGGACCTCAACCATCTTCAGGTATTAATGGAAATACACAGCCTCCCAGTACATCTGGGCAACCCCCAGCCTCTGCCATCCCTTCCCCAAGTGCCAGCAAGCCCTGGCGCAGCAAGTCCATGAATGTCAAGCACAGTGCCACTTCCACCATGCTGACAGTGAAGCAGTCGAGCCCAGCCACCTCCCCCACTCCATCTTCAGACAGACTGAAGCCCCCTGTCACAGAAGGGGTCAAAAGTGCTCCCTCGGGACAGAAATCTATGCTTGAAAAATTCAAGCTGGTTAACGCCCGGACTGCATTGCGTCCCCCTCAGTCTCCCAGTTCAGGACCTAGTGATGGTGGGAAGGATGACGATGCCTGCTCTGAATCTGGAGAAATGGAAGGTTTTAATAGTGGTCTGAATAGCGGCGGCTCAACAAACAGCAGTCCCAAAGTGTCACCTAAATTGGCTCCTCCAAAAGCAGGAAGCAAAAATTTCAGCAATAAAAAGTCTTTGTTGCAGCCAAAAGAAAAGGAAGACAAGAGCAGGGACAAAAATAAAGCCTGCACCGAAAAGTCGGGAAAGGAAGAGAAGGACCAGGTGACAGAGACAGCTCCTAAAAAGACTTCTAAAATCGCAAGCTTGATCCCAAAGGGCAGCAAGACTGCGGCAGCCAAGAAAGAAAGCTTAATTCCATCATCCAGTGGGATTCCAAAGCCAGGCTCTAAGGTACCCACGGCAAAGCAAACTATTTCACCTGGCAGTGCAGCAAGCAAAGAGTCTGAGAAATTCAGGACTACCAAGGGAAGCCCTTCTCAGGCCTTCCCCAAGCCCATCACCTCGGAGAAAGCAAGCACACAAGGCCTCTCTGCTCCTCAGGAGGGGAGGGAAGCTGGCCATGCATCTCCGTCTAGCTCCTGTGCTATGCAGGTGGCACACAGCAGTGGACAGAGCACTGGCAATGGAGCTGTCCAGCTCCCCCAGCAACAGCAGCACAGTCATCCCAACACAGCCACGGTGGCTCCTTTCATTTACAGGTGAGATGGCCTCTATAGCCCTGTGTTCACAGATCTTTGTAGTTAGATGTGTAATATTAAGTTAAATGACCGTTTGAGGATGTTTCTCTTTGAAGCAACAGAACTAGAATTCTGTACAACAGCTTAGTCTGGGGAAACATTCTCATGTGTCAGGTGCTATTTGCTCAGAAACCAAGGCCTACAAAAATTAACCCACATCTTGTCCAGAACAAGATGGAATTGAGATGCCATGACTTTCTCATGTCCAGTTCTTCTTCATACTACCCTGTTACCTCTGGCACCTGGGAGCTGTCATTAGTATACTCTGTCCCTTAAAACAGTTGTTGAACAGAAGGTGCTGACAGTCAAATTTTTGTTGTCATGTGTGGATAAAGTATATCATGATGGTTAATGAGGCTGGCCTCAAGAGCATGCACATGCGTACTGAACCACCCCCCCAACTGCTGTACCATTTACCAGCTTCATGGCTTTAGACAAATTGCTTAAAATTTCCTCCTCTCATTCCCTTCAACTGATAGTAGAGATTAAAATAATAACAGGTAATTAATATATTTATTCTATATACAGTATAGCATAAATCACTGTTTTTGTAAGTATGCCATTTACAAAGTAGGTTTGTAGATAAAAATAGCTAATATATGACTAGTATATTAACATTTGCTCCTTTATATTTTGTGCATTCATCCTACACTGAATACATTAAACACACAATTGTATATTATATCTAAAAATATGCAGACTACTGCACGGTTACCAAAGTAGCCCATTTTTCCTCTCTGGGGACTGGCCTCATCAATTAAAGCTCTGTCAGTCACTGGTTTGAGTCTAATTTAATTCACTGTCTACTTAGTAAAGACCTGACCATGGGAAGAATAATGTCTTCTTGGTCCCATCCTTTTGGCAGGTTGTCAGATTTAGAACAGGTAAGAAATTTTAAGAAGAGGAAGCAAGGCTTGCTATAATTATCATGGTGTCAGAACTGTAGTGAAATATTTTATTAGTGTATTGAATTGTGGCTTTTAAAAAATAAAGCCAAGAATCCTAAATGTTAATTTTTTTCCTTTGAGAGAAACTAAATAGTTTTCCCCGAGACTTTTCATACTGATTAAAGCAAAATTCTTAATTGTTGCATTTGATTTGTGGGACTTGCAACATCCCCAGTAAGTACCTCTGGTCAAATTGTGCTGACCTTAGTGACAGGGCATCTATGCCTTTGTACCTGGATCAAGAGGGTCTATTTTTTCTAGCTCCAAAGTCCCCAACTGGCTAACCAAAAATTAAGATGACCAAGTCAAAATCCACAATTCAACGATATAAGAAAAGCATGAAGCTTTAAATATATCATATTTAGCACATCTGTGAATTTCAAATATAGTGTGCAAAGATATCTATCATTTTTAAATCCAATATGAATGCCAATGAAAATGAATATCTATACTTACCTATTCATCAGCTTATTTCTGCAAGTGACTGCAGGCTTGTTTTTGCTTGTTTATTTGTAATGAAGCATTCAGCAAATGAAAATTTAGTGGATTGCATTAGAAAATATAATGTTTTTGATTCAGCACATTTAATCTTCATTAACATTCCAGATAACTATACCGCTATTGAATTTACCTATATACCACGCAAAATTTTTTGTTCATAATTCGTTAATTTTTAAAATCACATACATTTCCATGTACAGGGTCCTGCTGCAGATGGAATGATTAAGTTTAGATAATTAACATATGCACTTTTGCACATAGTTATCACTGTGTCGTGAGTATACTTCATATTCCCTCAACAGTATTTTGCAGGCAATCTATTACTGTCACATGTAATCACTCTTTTATATTAAACCTTAGGTCTCCTAAACTTATTTCTTCTCTCAGAAAGAAATTCTGTGTCTCTGAGCAACAATCCCCAAAAGTACCCTTCCCACAATCATTACCACTAATACATGACTACTCTCTATTTCTGTGAGATGAGTTATTTTTTCATTTTTACATCTCAAATGTAAGAAAGACAGTGTTCTTTTTTCTGTGCCTGGCTTATTTTACTTACCTTCTTCTCCTCTAGATACATCCCTGTTTTCTCAATTGACAGGATTTCTCCTTCTTTATGCTTGAATAATATTCTGTTGTAAAGCATTTTGCAATTTCAATTTGTCTGCTTGCAGTTTAGCAGGTAGCACTTGTGGGTACGCTGTGTCATGCAAACTGATGCTCCATACACCTCAAAGTTTTCATTTCTCTGTTGAAAGTGAGTGTTAGAGATATGGGGTGATATAGGTCACTTACTAGGAAGGAGTACAGAGAGTAGGCAGAGTCTTGCATTACTGTTTAGAAACATGCTAGAGTCCTTGAGACAATGGCCCTTATAGCCACAGTAATTGCTTGCCAACAATGATTGGTCATGTGACTTCTAGTAATGTACTTAAGGATTTTGAACATCAATTTTCCTGTCTATAACATGGAGATGAAATAGTTGAACCTACTTCACATCACTTTTCAGGATTGGGCTGGTATTTAGCATTTGCCACGTCTTACACAGTCTTCTCCAAATCATTCAGTGATTGATAACAAATAGTTGTTTTAAAAGATTTAAGGAAGCAAGTCCATGTAAAATAATCATCATTAATGACAATAATAGTGCTTAGGATATTGTCAATAATATAAATAAATAAAACTAACAAAATACATTGCATAATACTCTAAATATGACACAACTATGAAACATTATCACACAATTTTATCAATGATGAGATTATGTCCTCTAAAGACATAGTTTTCAAGGTACATGCTTTCCCACCATGAGTAAAAGGTTTATATTTTTTATTTTTTTATTTTTAAGGTTTATATTTTTGATTCGTGGCATTTTGAGTGTGGAACCACATACCTTTCCTCATTCTATCTCTGCTCATGTAAGAACCCTTTAAGAAAGAACCCTGACAAGTTTCATAGGAGTTGTTAATTATTTGAGATGGTAATACTCATGATTTATGACTTTATAATAGCAGTATCATCTTTTAAATATCATCTGTTATCATCTGCCCATGGTGACTTACTGAAATCCTCCATTTTGTAAGATTGATAGCCATTTCCTGATTTAAACTTCATCCCAAATTCACAAGGATGTAATGTGCTAGTATTCCTATTTATCAGAAATATAGAAGCAGTCATGTAGATTCAGAATAGTAATGACCTCAGAAAATTATGGAGTCTGCAAGAATTTGCCTGTGAAACAAATTCTGACTGACTGCACACATTTTGTCTTCAGTGAGCCTGAATGGGAGGACATGCTGTCCTCTGATTGTCAGTTCTTTCTGCAATGTGGAAAGAATGGAATTATTATCAGGAAATTCAGACTAGGAAAATTCCAGTAAGACATTTGCAAACTTCTCAATCAGAACTCACTCATAGATGGGGCATGGTGGTGTAGACCTGTGAATCCCACAACTTAGATGGGAAGATAGGCGACTGCTTGGCCATGGCCCAGAATGGCCCAGAATGGCCCAGAAAAGAATACAATCTCAAAAAAAGTCATTTATAATAAGAAATTGTGGCTGGGTGTTGGTGGTGCATGCCTTTAATCCCAGCACTTGGAAGGCAGAGGCAGGTGGATCACTGTGAGTTCGAGGCCAGCCTGGTCTCCAGAGCGAGTGCCAAGATAGGCTCCAAAGCTACACAGAGAAACCCTGTCTCGAAAAAAACAAACAAACAAAAAAGAAATTGTAAATTGTTGTTGACTAGTACAAATTAACATAATATATATTTTGCATATGAACATATACACATATAATATTTAAATGTACTTAAGTAACCTACACAGAATTAGAAGATTATTGGGCACATGGTAATTTATTTTCCTTTTTTCAGCCTTACATGGGTCTTTCATAGTATTTTAGTTAGGTTAATTTTGCTATGATAAAACACCATGGCCAAAACCAACTTGGAGAGGAATGGGTTTATTTCATTTTTCACTTCCAGGTGATTGTCTGTCACAGAGAAATTCAGAACAGAGAATCAAGGAGGTTAGGAACCTGGAGGCAAGAATTAAAGCACAAACCATGGAGGAACATTTTTTACTGGCTAGCTCCTCATGTCTTGCTTAGCCTGCTTTCCTACATAACTCAGGACCTCCTGTGAATAAATGGCACTTGCCCCATGTGATGGGGCCTCCCAAATAGATCATTAATCAAGAAAAATCCTCACAGACTTGCCCATAGCCCAACTTGGAAGGTACATTTTCTCTCCGAGGTACTTTCTTCCCAAATGGCTGTGGCTTCTGTCAAGTTTACAAATTCATACCAGGACACTTCCTTAATTGCCATCCCTAGTCCAATACTAGTATGTGCTTCATAATTTTTTCCTAATCAACTGTATATCCAGAGTCCCATAAGTACAATGTTAGGTTATGATAGTTAAAGGGTTTCATGCAATCTAACAGCTAATACAGTACAACATATTTTACATCATTTTTGTTACTCAATTCTCCCTACAAAGTAATGAGTATTATAAATTAATTGTGATCCTTACTTAATGAGTAGAAATGACTAACATTTAAAAGGTGAAGAATTTAAGAGAAGATAGTAAAGTTCAACAGAAGAGGTTCTTAACAATCACAGCTTTTTGAAATTGGAATAGACTGCCTTAATAAGTGTTAATGTGTCCACAGAAACATCTATGAGATGGTAAGACATTTGACAGAAGGGAGACAAAGGGGAGTCATCACATACTTTTCATATACCCATCCTTCACTCTTTAGGTGACTTGCAGTACTGATACAAAGGTAGGGGATGTGATAAGAATATAATGAAATACATGAGACATTGCTGATACAAAAGTGCATTGTATTAGAATTTATATTGAAGAAAGTTCTTTTTAAAAATTTTAAAAGCAAGTATAGCCAATTAATGTCTAACAGAGAGGTTAAAGTAAGAAGTGAGATTAAAGGAAAAGTTTGATTCTTATCAGGTGTCTAAATCTGGTATTTGGTGATTTCACAATCCAGGTTAA